TGTAATGTACTTTATTATGAAAAAAAAAAATTTTGGACTTTATTTTATCTTCAAGGTGAAAATGGCTACCAAATGCTATTTTTGTGTGAAAATTTTTGATTTTGTATTTTACATTTTTAATTTTATTATGCTATAACTTTTTGAAAAATGTATGGATCATCACAATTTTTTTATGAGAAGTAGTATTTATATAGATCTTTCATTCGACATACTGTTTTTTTAAATCGGACCATTTCCCTAAATACAGGGGGGATTCAAAACATAAAAATGCATATAGAAAGTAGAACTTTTTCAACTTAACTTTTGAAAGTGTTCCGGAAGGTCTGACACTTTTATATATATCTTAAATTAAAGCTAGTGTAATGTACTTTATTATGAAAAAAAAAAATTTTGGACTTTATTTTATCTTCAAGGTGAAAATGGCTACGGAATGCTATTTTTGTGTGAAAATTTTTGATTTTGTATTTTACATTTTTAATTTTATTATGCTATAACTTTTTGAAAAATGTATGGATCATCACAATTTTTTTATGAGAAGTAGTATTTATATAGATCTTTCATTCGACATACTTTTTTTTTAAATCGGACCATTTTCCTTAATACAGGGGTGATTCAAAACATAAAAATGCATATAGAAAGTAGAACTTTTTCAACTTAACTTTTGAAAGTGTTCCGGAAGGTCTGACACTTTTATATATATCTTAAATTAAAGCTAGTGTAATGTACTTTATTATGAAAAAAAAAAATTTTGGACTTTATTTTATCTTCAAGGTGAAAATGGCTACGGAATGCTATTTTTGTGTGAAAATTTTTGATTTTGTATTTTACATTTTTAATTTTATTATGCTATAACTTTTTGAAAAATGTATGGATCATCACAATTTTTTTATGAGAAGTAGTATTTATATAGATCTTTCATTCGACATACTTTTTTTTTAAATCGGACCATTTCCCTTAATACAGGGGTGATTCAAAACATAAAAATGCATATAGAAAGTAGAACTTTTTCAACTTAACTTTTGAAAGTGTTCCGGAAGGTCTGACACTTTTATATATATCTTAAATTAAAGCTAATGTAATATGCTTTATTATGAAAAAAAAAAATTTCGGACTTTATCTTATCTTCATGGTGAAAATGGCTACCGAATGCTATTTTTGTGTGAAAATTTTCGATTTTGTATTTTCCATTTTTAACTTTATTATGCTATAACTTTTTGAAAAATGTATGAATCATTACAATTTTTTTATGAGAAGTAGTATTTATATAGATCTTTCATTCGACATACTGTTTTTTTAAATCGGACCATTTCCCTAAATACAGGGGGGATTCAAAACATAAAAATGCATATAGAAAGTAGAACTTTTTCAACGTAACTTTTGAAAGTGTTCCGGAAGGTCTGACACTTTTATATATATCTTAAATTAAAGCTAATGTAATATACTTTATAATGGTAAAAAAAAAATTCGGACTTTATTTTATCTTCAAGGTGAAAATGGCTACGGAATGCTGTTTTTGTGTGAAAATTTTTGATTTTGTTTTTTACATTTTTAACTTTATAATGCTATAACTTATTGAAAAGTGTATTGATCAATATAATTTTTTTATGGGAAATACTATTTTTTAATAATCCCTTTTTCATTCGACATACTTTATCTGAATCAGGATATTAATAACGAACTAGCAGATCATGTTGCTTTTGGAATAATCCACCTATTTTTTAAAATTAAACACTATCTAAAGATTTGCATCGAAGCTTTTTTTATGATAGTGATTTTAATCACTGTCAGATATCATTATACTTGATCCAAATATGTCACGTCACCACTATGCCGCGACCCCCCTGTGCTGGGTTTTTTTTAAAATTATGTTGCTATAACTTTATTTTTTTTTTTATTCAATTCACTTTTTATTTCAGTGTATATATATTTTATACTCAATTTTTTTATAAATTCAATTCAATTTTTATTTCAGTATAAATATATTTTATTCTCAATTTTTTTTTAAATCCAATTCACTTTTTATTTTAGTATAAATATATTTTATTCTCAATTTTTTTAAATTCCTTCAAAGTTCTTTAGAACATTATTTTTATTTTCAAATTAATTTTAAATTCTCTTTTTTCTTTATATTAATAAAACAATCTTTTTTTTTGTTTTTAATATTTCAAAGTTATAAAATTTTTATAATTTGAATGCTTTGATTTTTCTGAGTAATTTTTTTTTTTATAAAACCCTTAGTAAAATTTAACTAAGCTCGTTGTTACGCGCCACTTTGTAGTAATACAAAAATAAGCAAAAAATATGATGTTAGGCGATGGGTGTATTTATTGACCAATGTTGGATATTTGGGGATTTGGTCAATTCAGGAGCAACGAGGTTCTATCGGGGTTGTAGAGCCCGAGGGTTTAGAACAGTAAAGACAAGTAGATATAATAAAATATGTATTAAGTTCCTCTAATAGAGATATTAAAACGCTGAGGTATTCATGTAGTGGCCAGGGTCTTGAAGCGTGATGTTAACTGGTATGTGCTTTAGTGGAAATACCGAGGCGTTCATGGAGTGGCGGAGGCCTCCTCGCAGACACCCAGTCGAAGTATATGACCAAGCACTAACTAGTTATTAATAATTAAATTATATGATGTTTAAAAAATCTATTGCTTTACCATTCTTTACTCAGATTATTAATTCTAAATAATTGGGTTAATATAAATTTACTTACTTCTTTTATATATTTCACGTTCAGATTTATACTTTTCTTTTTTTTTTAATAAATATTAATAAATATTGACGCAAAAATAATTGTACTTAATTTCACTTTAAAATGTACCGACGACAAAACGGGGTCGCGGCTAGTTTGCTCAAAATAAATGAGTTAGAAGAATTCTGAATTCCTTATTGAATTCAGATCTTCAAAAAGGAAAGAGAAAATACATATATGAAAAAATACGTATATGAGACGCTCGCTAGTATGCTCGCTCAATGATGTGCAAGCAGAACTCAGCCTTTTTATATTATTTTTAATTATCCCCTTCATAGGTTGTTGTCGTCAGCGCTTTTAGTGATTTTCAGTTTATTGTATAAAATTTGAATATAACATGATAATTATTTTAAGATAAGATGTATAGTGTACAATAATCAATTTAACATGTATATACATGTATAATAGCTAGTGTACAACAGTGTATATGTTATGACAGATAAATTAATTATTTGTTTGTATACAATTGGTATTAAATATAATTATTATTATTAATTAAATATTAAATATTGATTAATTTAAGATGCGTAATGTAGAGCATTGTGCATATTACGACACTATTGAATGTTTAAATAATGTTTATTCTATATTATACGTTTAATATTAACTCTACGTTTCATTTTTAACATTTTAGTAATAATTTATTTTCATTCAAAATTAAATAAAAATGAAGTATACTTATAATTTATATATATATATATATATATACACAGAGTGATTTATTAAGGATAAGACACTCGTTTATTCAGTAAGTATTTTTTAATTTTTGGTAAGGAAAATATTGTTTGATTCAAAAAGTACTACAATAATATGTAGTAAAAACATGATGTCTTTCATCCCTTCAAGGTTAAAAAATATTAGCTTGAGTTTTTTTAAACGAGAAAACACATATTTTGAATTTAATAAAGTTTTTAATTTAATAGCAAATTTTTAATGTAACTTCGTTTATTAGATATAAATATTTAAAGTTTCAAATTTTTGAGCTAATATACATGTATAATACACAAGGGATTATAAATACAGGTAGCTTATTTGTTTTTTATGACATTGTTATCACAGTCACGGATTGTTTATTATCAATTATGACTATCAATAGATATACTTTCTGTATTGTCAGTTAGTGTATTTATAAACTCACAACAATGTGCCTTACTACCATTGATAATAACTTTGTTATGTACCTGCTAATATCGATGTCATAAAAAACCTATTACACCAACATTTGTTTTGGTAGTGATTTTAATCACTGTCAGATATCATTATACTTGATCCAGCTATGCACGTCACCACTGTGCCGCGACCCCCCTGTGCTGGGTTGGGTTTTTTTATAGTTGATTCTCCAAAAAGACGCGATCATTTACACTCTAATAATAATTTTGTTGTATCACCAACAAAATTATCATACAACTCAAATTCTACAAAATCTAAGAACATAAGTATGAGTCTTAATATTGTCGTAATATGCACAATGCTCTGCATTACGCATCTTACATTTATCAATATTTAATTAATAATATCATTATATTTAATATAATTTAATATATTAATATTTAATACCAATTGTATACAAACAAATAATTTATCTGTCATAAAATATACACTGTTGTACACTAGCTATTATATATGTATATACATGTTAAATTGATTATTGTACACTATACATCTTATCTTAAAATAATTATCATGTTATATTCAAATTTTATACAATAAACTGAAAATCACTAAAAGCGCTGACGGCAAATTTGAATTCTGTTCAAACTAATAAAATTTATAGATAGCACTTTATTTACTCAAAAACTTGTTTAATTACATGACCAATTATTTTTTCCAATCACAGCTCATTAAAAATTGACCAATTAAATAAGAAAAACATGAGATCCGTGAGTTTAGGAGTGCTGAAATTGAGGTTTGGGTGCTATAACACAATCTGCTGCTCTTGTAGTTTAAACACTGAGCATACCTATTTGATTTTGGATTAAGACAGTTAAATTCTTTATTTTGGAAGCACTCTTGGCTAAATAGGTTTTGATATAATTTCTTGAACATCAATTGTATTACTGTCAATTTATTTTTACTAGTTACTTTTTATTTAAATAGATTTATAAATTTTTAAAATTAATTATTTATTAATTAACTTAAATTAATTTTAATTTAATTTAAAAATTAATTAATTTATTTTATTCAATAACATATATATTTTTAATAGTTAATATATGTAAGTATTTTTTTTTTTTGTGTAGGAGTAGATTTTCAAAGTAAAATGTTTAAAAACCAACATTTCATTAAATATGAAATTAAATCAATAAATGAAAAATTGGACATTTTGTTACAAAATTTTGAAAGGTTAGAAAATTTGAAGGTACTTGCCACTTCAGAAAATAGCTCCACAACTGATTATTCAGCTATGGATTGTATCTTCCCTATTGAATTGGAGACTGATTTAGAAAGTATAAATGAGCATATTTTATCAGATTCTACTTACCAAAAAAAAACTGGTATAGTTAATTTTTTATGTTAAAATAATTAATCTTCATTAACATATAAATAATTAAAGAGCTTTCTAAAATAATGGATATACACATTATACTGATACTTTTGACTGTAAATGTTTTTTCATATTAATTGTTGAAATCTGGATTGAGTAGTGTTATTAATAAGATATGCTTTAGAAATACTCTGATGACTAATTATTGAATAATAATAATAATTTTTAACTTAATAATTAAATTTTTTCTGTAAATTAATATGATTGAATAGTTTTTCTAAAAAAATTTAATTAAATTTTTTAAAAAGTTAATTTATTGATTTTTTGTTACATACTAGATTAAAGAACTTTCATTATTAGGTGGAGGTAATGTAAGAAAAATATTAAAATGAATAATGACTAAACTATTCAGTGATAAAGTATTGCAGCATTACTCATATGTTGGTAGAGGTATAAAAGGGAAAAAAAGTTTTAGCCAGTTACCAATTTGTAAGGTTGTATTTGGTAAGCAATAACTTGTCTGACTTTTTTATACAAATATTTTAAGAGTTTTTTTTATTCTAGAATAATGATCAAAATTGTTATTAACGTCATTATTTATTATGATATTATTTTAAGTAAAAAAAAAAATTTTTTTTGAACTAGTATGCTAATTTTATTCTAGATTCTATTGTGAAAATTCCAAAATATGAAAATTGTCTACAAGAGGTTGAAGACAAAATGAAAATATATTTAACTCAAGCGTCTTTTAGGTTGAAGAGATCACATGAAAAAAATTAGATATGTATACTGATATATGTAGGTGTAATTTATTACTTATTCAATGCTTTTTTATTAGTAAAATATATTAAAGTAAAACATTTTTATTTAAATAGTTCCTCAGGAGTGATCCTTTTTTCGATAAAACTACAAGTGATGTATGATACAGGTTTATGTTATCATAGATACATTGTTTTATTTTAAGAATTATACATGATTCTTCGAATTTTCATTGATTAAGTAATTTAAAATTGTACTCTTAGTGTATCGAAAGTGTTTTTTTTTTTTTGTTTCAGATCAGATAAGTTCTCACAAACAATATATTAAATACTATATTACAATTTTATTTGTAATTTTTAAAATAAATACTTATTAATATAATACAATATTTTTTTATTAATCATGAATGACATTTATATTGCTTTTTAACTTTTGATATAAAAATCTTTTTAAAACTTTTTGCAATCTGTTAATAAATAATTAGCAGTTCTTTGCCTTAGATCAATAATATTTGGTATATAAATTTATTCTGTTTCTTAAGATGTGTTTTTTTTTAGTAATTACTATAATTATAATTTTCACTGCATAATACGTACTTACAGTTATATTATTATAGTAACGTCTGTAGTGAATCAAAAAAAGATAATAATAATAGAATTAATTTCTTTAATACTTTATGTGTTAATTATGATATAATAATTATGGGGGGTTATTAATTTAGGGAGCTACTTTGACAGTTGCTCAAAAGAAATAAGTTAAATAGAATATGACGGGATTTTGATTCTTATTTGATCCACTACTTCATTGTATTAATAATATTATTACTCGGGATATGAGTACGAGGGTCTGTAAGAAAGATAGAAGATGATAGAAAAATAAAGTGATCTTTATTTTATTAATATGGGATTTATTATAATTAATTGTCAATTCTTAAATATCAATAATGCCACGAGTTTTGACGGTTATCGATGATAGGTGGGATTGAGTCACCTCGTGTGTCTACCCAGAGTGGTATGGTGGCTATACATATGAACCTCCAACCTAACTCCTGAAATAGACACGTATCAACGATATAACTCTGCCAAGTAACTCTGTACAAACATTATCGATTTATTAAATTTACTTGGTATATTTATTATTATTGATAATCACTTGATTTTCCTGTATGCCTACTTAATCTATATACTCATAATATTTAATTTTAAACCTTATTTATTTTTGGTGAATTTATTAGATTCCTACCTCGATATTTTCTGCTATACTCTTAAATAAATAGATTTTGTATTTTGTGAACAAATATAACTGTGTTGACGGCGGATCACTTCTTGCATATGTTTCGTAGTGTGGAATGGTCGAGCGTAGTGAGTGCCTCTGTAAGTATCTGATTGCATCTGTCTTAGAATGCTCTTTATTTTTGGCTTTTTATATTAAATTTGACCGTAGTTCAAAGGCAAGAAGTAATCCCCGACGTCACCGTTATTTCTTTATTAATTGTAATTTATTACATGTTATTTATTACATTTTCATCAATAATGATCTACATATTATAAAATACAATCATATCTCATATAATAATTTAGACATAGTTTATTACCCTTCATCTTATGTGCTACCATTACATATTGTTTATTATTTCCTGTTTGTTTTATCTAATTAATATATACTCTTTTTCTACGAAATTTCATTAATATTTTTAAACATTTAAAAGGTACATATATATATATATATCTTATTTTTATTGGTATACATTTTATTTTGTGTAATTGATTGATTGAAGTCTTAAATAATACATTATGACATTGATGATCTATTGTGTATACAAATAATTTATTATAATATTAATGATGTACTATGTATATCATTACACGTCCCACAAATGAAAATAAATTTAACCCCTTTTTTCATTCTACGAAAACAATTATTTGATGAAATAAGGTTAGAAAAATAGAAATATTTATAATATACTACATATTGTGGTAGTAAAAGGGAAGAATAGTTAGACACCTATTATATTTAATATAATTTATCATTGGATTACCGGTTAAAAACTACTTATATTAATTGCGCCACAAAAATGTTAATAATATGCCTGTTGTAAAAACTGCACATATTCTCGTATGCTCGTGCATGGCAACAGCCATCATTTTTGAGTATTATATGGATATTTGTCCAATGATACTAAATTCCTTTTAATGTTAAATTTAATACGTTAATTTAATGTTAAGGTTGCAACGTTATATAAATATGAACTTTTGGTTCACAAAACATTTATATAACGTTATTTAAACGTTTATTTAATGTCTGGCAATCAAATATTAATGTTTTATTAATATTGCACGTTACATTTGTAACGTTATTTTAACATTGCAGCAATATTTCTATGTTATCTGGGAACGTCACAGTGCAAAGTACAGCAACGACGATCCGCCACAAATGATACGTTGAGACTTTTTCCGTTATCGAAGTGACAACGTCAAGGATGTACGCCACTGGTTCCGAACGTGTCGTGCGACCAAACCATGGCGAATACTGCGTCGCCGACGCCAGCGAAAGTGGCGCAATATTATGCGAATATTATTATTCATTCATCTTTTCGGTTTTTTTTTAAATAACCTGTTGCTGCTCAACTAATTAAAAAACGGCCCACGAGTTTCTATGTATCCCAACTGGATATATTAGTGCACTTTTCAAATAAAAGAGAGGAATCAAAATTTATTTCCTTACATTTGCCTCATTTTGGTGGAATATAAAAATAAATTATTTTAACTATTAGGACAGTCTTTCAATTGTAAGTCTAAGATTGTAAAATCGATAGTAATACCAAATTTAATTATTTTAAAATAAATAAATTATAAGAACATTTTTTGAACTTTATTTAAAATTACAATTAGAAAAGATTGAGAGGGTCTCCAAATTGTTGAGCAATAATCTTAGTATTGATCAAACCAAGGCACAATATAAAACATTTAAGTATATTTCACTTAGAGCAAAATGAAAAAAGGAACGAATTTTCGCAGAAATGTTGTAATTATTGGATTTATAATAAAATAACTCGTACCAAAAATTTTTTGAAATATATTTATTTTTTGTTATCATTAAGTACTCTTAAAAAGCTTTAATTAAATATTGGTTTCGGTTTGTCAGATCAAATATTCGATGCTTCAACGCTATTCGACGCTTCAATGCAAATCTGTAAATAATGTTTAATTCTAAGAAATTAGTGTAATTCGATACACTTATAAGACACAAGGAATGAATTTCAAAAATTTAGATACATGTTATATTAAGAATTGTATTTAATTTATAGAATCTAAAATAAATTTTTTATGAATGATACTAAATCATTCTAAAAAAACAATAGTTATGATAGCCACAAAGTTTATGATAAATAAATAACTCTGTATGTAAACAACCCAGCACAGTGGGATCGCGGTACAATGGGGACGTGGCATAGTTGGTACACGTATAAATGATATCTGACAGTGATTAAAATCACTATCATAAGAAACACTTCGATGCAAATCTGTAAATAATGTTTACTTCTAAGTAATTGGTGGATAATTACAAAAGCAACATCAACTATTTCCTTAATTATATACAGATTAGTTATTCTTAGATTCAAAAATATAATTTAAAATTATATATTATATAATTGTTATATTGAACTATTTTAAAATTATTATTGATATTGATTTTTAATATGTTAAAAGTAATAATTATTAACCTTCTTTATTTCGTCCTTTAAAGTGAAAGTTTATAATAAAAAAAAAAAAAAAAATGAATTTATTACCATAACTTTTAGCTCACCTTGCAAGTTTGAAATTGAAATTGTTAAATAGACAAAAATGAAATTGTTAAGATTAATATGCAATCAGGAAATTTTATAATTATATTTACAGTATATTAATCAGAAAAGTTCGATTTTTATCGTAATAGATCACTTAAATAAAAATCATAGTAATCATTTCTAATTAACTTTGGATGTTTAAAAAGAATCTACAATGGAAATATTCAGAACATAATTAATTTTAATGATTTACTTATCTAAAAAAAACAAAAAAAAAAAAGTTGTTAAAAAGATTTACTTAATTGACTGTATTATAAAATTTAATTATAATTGTTGAAATCCATCGTTAAATTCAGGTGAAACTAAAAATCATTTTTTTTTAAACTTATTATTTATATAGCAACTTGTTACAAAATAATTTGGAATATTATAGACTGGTAGTAGCACACACAAATAGAGTTAAAAAATTAATAGTAATGGGATCCTTTATATTTATTGAAGTTATTGAATTTAAATGAGATAAATATCAAATGATTTGAAAATTTCTTTCTAATTCAAAAAAAATGCAAAATATCAATTGCCACAAGCGGATTTGAACCTCGACCCAAAGCGTGAAAGACATTACCAATTCGGCAACTGTTCGTTGCTTTTGTCCCATGATAAAATTGGAAATTAAAGCTAACTCAAATTTAAAATTTATTTTTTGGACTTTAAAAAAGTGAAAAAAGTGAAAAAGTTTTAATAAGTTTAATTTCTTGTGTCTTATGAACTTTATTCTATGTCAATTAAATTATTTAATATTCATGAAAGTCAGTGTATTCCACTATTAAGATATTTTAAAATAAAATAAAATACAAAACCCAGAATTTTAATACAAAAATGGCATATTTTTGAATACGGTAGCCATTTGCGCATAGAAGATAGGTCGCCAGGACAAATTTTTCTTTAAATTATATAGTACATAACATAAGATTTAATTTTATATATGTCGAAAGGACGCAGTATTTCCGAAACATTTTCAAAAATTAAGTTTAAAAAGTTAGTTTTTGTAAAAAAGTTGCTTTTTTAAATGCCCCCCAGTGAGCAGGTTAAGTGTTAAATTTTCAAAAAAATTATATCAAATGAAATGGAAATATCTAAGCTTTTAGTTTAAAAAAAAATTATGTTGATTTGTTCATTTTTGAAAAAGTTATTGAAGTTTTAAGAAAAAAAAGTGAAAAAAATGGCAAAATTTACCGATTTTTAAATTTGTAATTTTTTTGGTGATTTCCCCCATTTTTGGGGAACGAGGACAAATTTTTCAATTTTTAAGGGTAAAGTCTTCAACTAAATACGATTTGTGATCTTTTGACGTATTGTTGAAAGAAATCGGTCCAGTGAAAGCTGAGAAAAAATGGCAACATATATAAAAAAAAAAAACATATTGTAAAATTAATATCTTCTCAATTTCGCATTAAAGCTAAAAAAGATTATACTACTCATTATTTTTGAAGTTTAGAAATTATTATTTAGTCATATTAGAACGTTTATAATGAATAACCCAGAGTTTGAAAAAATTAAGCAAGACCAATATCCATATGAAAAAAACAAGTTATTTGTGATAAATTTTTTTTTGCAATTTTTATGTGGTAGATATGTGTGTGATATATATGTGAAGATATATATTAAATATATATCTTCTAAAAAATATTAAAGCGTTTTGTTAAAAATTTTTTTTTCGGAAAATTTAATTTTATTGGTAGTTTAAATTATGATTATGTTCTTATTAGATATTAATAAATTGCAAATTTTGTAGTATAATAACAATTGAATTTTAGTCTCACTCGATTTCTGTTCATTACATATCCAAAACCTGTTAAAACGAGTTTTTGTGTACATCAACTTTCGATGAATCGAGCACATCATATCTAAATTTGTTTATAAGTCTACAATATTTCCTACAATTAATATTAAATGTCACATGGCCATGTATAAAAATATTCTTTCTCATTTCATAAATTACAATGTATAAATAAAACAGCAAATTTTATTATTTGTCTGCTAATATTTATTTAAAGTATTCAATTATTTTCAATATATAATTTTTTATGTTTCTTTAATATCGAATGTACTCTACCCCTAATCTTTCTCAGTAGGTTATCGTTTAATTATTTTTATTTTTATTTCACCGATAAATATAGATTAAGCCAACATATTATTCATTGAAAATATTTTTTTATACATATGTTTTATGAAAACAATAATGAATATTAAAAATTTGCTAATTTTATAACAATTTAAAAATTGCTGAGGGTGTTTTATTTAACTAAAAAGATTTTNCAGTGGTGTAGTCCTAAAAATGTTTATGGGTATACGCCTATATAATGAATAGAGAATAACGTGGGGGGCTCCGCCCCCCACACCCCCCATTGCACTTTACATTTTCTACATACAATATTTCACATTATCAACAGTGATATAGTCGTAATTTGATCAATAGATAAGTTAAAAACCTAAATGAGGAAACGTGGGGAATTTCACCCCCACACTACTTTTCAAAGGCCTTAACTATAACATAGTTTTGGGAGACGGAATACAAATATTGTGATGTTTTAACTGTGTTAAAAATATGTATTTTCTAATTATTACATAATGCAACTAAAACTCTTAACCCTCCCAGATACGGCCTAGCTCCTTCCAAACTATTACTCGAATATTTTTACTGACACTTCTAAGTTCTTACATAAATTAAATTTCATAGTCATATAATCGATATGTGTATTATTAGATACTGTTATATTTTTTATAAATAAACAATAAACTTTATGCAGTAATAAAATAATCTTACAATTATTGTTTTCAAATCGTTAAATCATAAATGAAATAAACGTGAATAGGTACATGTTAGTACTATCTTAATTCATTATAGGTAATATATTAAATACTAGATTGGTTGGTAAACGGTTTATTACGGAAAAATACAAATTACCAATTTCAACAGCTATAGGTTAACCCAATAAATTTCAGTTTCAACTTAGTATGTGCTATATCGTTAATTTCTGATCGATGTTTTAAATTTTATCAATAAAATTGTCGTGAAATGATAAACATTATCCTATTTATTTATTTTTGTTTTACATTTATATTCTATTTTTAAAATGATAATAGTCTCGAGCCATATTTGTATGTTTATAACTTCAGGTATATGTTTATATGTGGTATGACTGTAGAGATTAAACAAACTGATAATAGTTATTCAAAATTTGTGTTTTATGACAAACGTACCTATATTCGATACCCACGTATTACTTTTTATTTTATTCTTTAGTCTATACTCTTTAACTATTTTATAAATACGTATATGCACTAATAAAAAAACTAATAGTGGATATACGCCGTATACCCGCGTATCACTCATGATTTTATAAGTATACGCAATAACAGAAAAACAAAGAAGTGGGTATACGCCGTATACCCGCGTATACGCTCCACAACACCTCTGCTTACAATGAATAATTTAAGTTTTGATATTTATATATTTTTAATTTTATTCTTCATCATTGAATCAATAGTTAAACAAATATTACTAAAATTATTATAGTAGAACATTACACACACATTATTCTTATATATATTTTGCTATAAATATAATAAATACGTAAAATATGTATGATTGAGTATTATAAATTTAAACGTTTCTAATAAATTAAATATTTTTTATTTCACAAAAAATTGAAAATGAACATTAAAATTTTAATATTAATATTTTTTGCTAAAAGTATTTTTCTTGAATTTGTACTTGTTGATTGTAAAAAATATGATGCAGATATACAAAAAGAGTATCTAACATATTTTAAACAAGTAATAAATCACATACGAAATCAAATAATACAATCAAATCTGAAACACATATCAATAAGAAATGAAAATGATGAAATTATAAGTCTACAAGAAAATCTAAAAAATAGATATCATAGTGTTAATTATTCAATAAAAATATATTATATAATAGTTGAATTAATTAACTATTTATTTGTTGAAGTACTACAAAAATTTACTGAACACTTGATAATCATCATAGAAAATTGTGAACATTTTTTTGAAAAAAATTCATTTCAAAATGTAATTTATTGCGTAGTAGTACTTTTAAATGCAGTTAAAAAATCAAATAAAATGTTTGAAGATTTATACAAAGCGATAACATTTATTGATTACTTAGATATGAAATTACTGAATATTTCATTAACTCTTCCAAAAACGGTAGTAGAAGAAATTTATACCGTTAAACATTATACTTATAAAATGAAAACGTCAGAAATTATAAATTATGTAAATAATGACGAAAGTTTTAATATTGAAAAAGCTAAAGAAGATTACGAAGAAATAAATAATTTCGTCAATAATGTAGTTGCAATAACACGTGAATTTTTTAAAAACAATATTAATATTATAAATAATGCAAGGGAATTGAATTTACGAGAACATTACTATGGTCAATACATTACTAATAGTTGTAATATGGAGTTTGTCGATTTTATTAGTGAAAATTTAAACAATTACTATTTAAAAACGATTGATGACTATTACTTCAAAATTGGATTCTATGAATTACTTCATCCTAGTATAGCTGAGTAAGTGTTATTTTTACTAAAGATATTGTTTTCTCACTATAAAAATTATAATTATATAAACTGATTTACACAGATTATTTTTTATTTAAGGCTCACACCTCCTCAGAACAATAACTTTCCTCAAAATAGAGCGATTGAAGTACTAAATACTTTGTTCCACGAAGGAAATTGGGAACGGTTAAAACATATAAGAATTATAGTTGATGATAAAATAATCACTACTAATCGCATTATTAGAGACACTGTAAATGATTTTAATTTTAGTCTAAAAAAAAAATACTTTACTCTAATGATGCGATGCAGATACACTGAAATATTGAAAAATTATAATACATATATGATCTCGGTAGTAAAATCATGCAAAAATGAAAAGATTAAAAGTAATTTAAAAGGTTTTCTTGATTGTATTAATAATTTTCTTGATGCGGTTCATGATTCAAAAAAAATGTTTAAAAATATGTTGATAGCTTTAGATATATTAAAAGATGAATCAATTTGGGATATTAAGGGTCATGCACATTCATCATTAAATAAAATATATAATTTATTAAGCAATTTTTTTACCATAATTGAACAGCTTACGTCAACAAAACAAAATTTGATTAATATATCTTTCAATACACTAATAAAACGTAAATTTACTCTAAGGATACGTGACCTAAAAGATTTACGTTGCTCAATTGAAGTTTTAGAAAAAAAAGAATTATTAAAATTATGGGAGACCGAAGTTATGTTATTTAATTCTAACTTTATAGACAGTCCAATACTTATGTATGAATACGCATTGAATCAATTTACGACATTTTGTGATTTTGCTATTATAAGTGAATTCGATTATTTAGGTTTTAATAAAATAATTAGAAATAATTAAATATGTTTGTAAAATGTATTACAAAATTTATGTAGAAATATTTAAATACAATTTTTATTTATTAACAGGATAATGATTTTTGGCGAATTACATTGTTGATAAATCATAGAATATTGCATTAGCAAACATAATTTTTTAGCATTTTTTAGTTACTCATTAAATGTAAAACCTATATGTTTAGCTTTATAGCATATTTCATAAAAATATTTCCATGTCAATGTACTTATTCTTTTTAAAAGTATTTTAGTATAAGTATTATTTTTTAATTTATATTTTAATTAGTTTAGTAATTGATAATAAATAGAAAAATCGTAAGTTAAAGATACTAAAATAATCACATAATTTAATTGATTGATCGTTGATGAATTGTTATTATAATAAATTATAAAATTGTGAAGAATTGCTTGTTTATTATTTCAATAGAAATATTGAACCTATTCTTTTGCTACAAAAACTGACACAGATTGGTAATTTGAGTGATCGTAAATAACGTAGATGATAATAAAATTTCACTGAGAAGAGCAGAGCCGTTTATTTATTGTAGAAATAAGAAAAACAAAGAAAAACCCAAAGTGGGTATGACATGTGATTTTACAATAACAACATTACAATGTTAATAACGTGTTGCGTACAGGACCGGATTTGACGGACGGTTTTAAGGGCACTTGCCCCGGGCAGCAGATGTTTGGCGGCATCCGGATGCCGANGGTTTTAAGGGCACTTGCCCCGGGCAGCAGATGTTTGGGGGCATCCGGATGCCGTATACTATAAAAAAAAATTTTTAACTTTTTAACCCTCGGCTTATGAAAACATCAACTTTAAAAAGTAAATATTGTTTTGTATTTATATAATTTGGTCTGCAAAATTAATACCGATATACGTCACATGATAACGACATTAGGGCATACTGCAAATACAATATAATACTTTAGTAAATTGGTATACGTTCGAGTAATTATGTCATTTATTATTAAACAGCGTGGTGGTAGTGCCCAGAAGGTTTGATAAGACGTGACTGACTTCTACGAATCGCGATACCATATTATAATAGCGATTAGCGCAGGCCGTCCGTCGTTGTATTATTTTATTTTCACGTATCATGGTTATCCTTTTTATTATAAACATCTTAGTACCTATCAAAATGAACATATCAATATAATTTTTTTTTATAGATGCTTGNAACTTTATAATGCTATAACTTATTGAAAAGTGTATTGATCAATATAATTTTTTTATGAAAAGTAGTATTTATATACATCTTTCATTTGACATACTTGTTTTTTAAATCGGACCATTTCCCTTAATACAGGGGGGTTTAAAACATAAAAATGCATAGAGAAACTAGAGTTTTTTAGATGCTTGATATCTTTACTTATCATTTGGTATATTTTTTTTGTAAATCTAACCCTTTATCCGCCCACAGGGGGGGATTTAAAATGACAACTTTTTTACAAAAAATGAACTTTTTCAACTTAACTTTTGAAAATGTTTCGGAAGGTCTAACACTTTTATATATATCTTAAATTAAACCTTATGTAATATTCTTAATTATGAACAAAAAAAATTTCGGACTTTATTTTATCTTCACGGTGGAAATGGCCCNTTACATTTTCATGATAAACACAATTTTTTTATGAGAAATAATATTTTTTAATATTCCCTTTTTCATTCGACATACTTTATCTTAATCAGGATATTAATAAGGAACTAGCAGATCATAATAATTTGAAAACAATTAATTTTAAAAATTATATAATATGTAATTAAAAGAATTACTAAGCTGGGTATAATTAAGGAAATAGAAGTTGATGTTGTAATCATCTACCAATTTTTTAAAATTAAACGATATCTAAAGATTTGCATCGAAGCGTTTTTTTTTTATAGTTATTTTAATCACTGTCAGATATCATTATACTTGATCCAACTATGACACGTCACAACTGTGCCGCGACCCCCTTGTACTGCCTTTTTTTATTTTTTGTTTTTTTTTAATTTAAAATACGCTGTGTGCCGAGTGGAGGCTAAAAACTCCGAAGACTGAATACTCCCGAAATAAATATTGTAAGTTCCATTCAATGTTGGTAAAAAATGTGTTATAATTGTGTAGTATTGTTCTGTTTATGTAATAGTGGCTTGTGGAATGATTTTTTTTAGGCGATGTATAGGTAATTTTCCCAGTTTAATTGATTAATTAATTTTAAATTTGGTGTCAATATTTTTTTGCCCTTGATTTTCATTTAAAAATTGATTTTATTTTTACAATTGTATGGTACAGAATACCTTTAGAAGTATCTAGTTGACCAGTTACCCCTTAAATTTAAGATACTCTCTGAGGAATTTCTAGTATACAGAGTGATTTTTATATCATAACCCACTCAATTACTTATAGAATAAATATATTTAAATATTTTTTTTTTTTGTTATCTTTAGTTACACATTATTCTCGAATTATTAACTATGTAATACTTTTTAAGTTCATCCCTTATGCCTTGTAAGGGGGTCAACTTTGTTTTTTTAAATGGAAACACATATTTTTAATTTAATAAAATGTTTCAGTTTTTAATTTAATAGTAGATGCCATTGTAATTTTTAAGATAACTTTATTCATTTATTATATATAAACAAGTTTCAAATTTTTTAGTTAATATACATGTATGATTTTTAAGACATAGCTGTCACAGTCACGGTTTGTTTATTATCAATTATGACTATCAATAGATATACTTTTTTATTGTTAGTTAGTGCATTTATAAACTCACAACAATGTGCCTTACCACCATTGATAATAACAATGCTGTGTAACTGCTAATATCGATGTCATAAAAAACCAATTAGCTACCTGTATTAGTAATGCCTTGTGTATTATACATGTATATTAAATAAAAAATTTGAAAGTTTAAATGTTTATATATAATTTATATACCAAATTNGGTGTTCAGTAAGTCAGGAAACCCTATATAATTTATATACCAAATTTATAAAAATATATTTTTATTTAACATTTTTGTTTTAAATAATTTAAATTGTACTATTTACTACCTACTGCCAATAAAAATTTTAAAGTATTAAATTTAATTAAACTTTTATTATAATGTATAATTAATATAGCTGCTATGGAGGTTGAATTTAAAAATTTTAATAAATTAAATTGTAAGATTATTATATTTATTTTTACTTTTCAAATTATGAAGGTTTAATAGATTTATGTAATATTGCTATCTTTAAATGAATTTTGAAATTTGTGTTACATGAACAGCAGTGTTTCAAACTTGAAATAAACACGGTTTAGGTAAATAGTTATAAAGTGCAAATTTGGAAATTTTAAAACTTTTATCCTTAACTACGTCGATAATAAAACTATGGTGTTTTGCAACAGAATGGGCGGGAGGTAACAAATGTATTGTTGCTTAACTTGGTACTGTTGTGCGGGCCCACGTGGTAAAAGGAATTAAACTTAATGAGAAAAAGAAAACACTCACTTTTCAATAAAACTTTAGAATATATAATTTGATTGACACAATTAATAATACAATACACGTTATTTATTAATATTAATACAAATGAATAGAATAATAAAATATAATGACATAGAATGATATAGAATGATATAGAATGATTTAGAATGATATAGAATGAGTGTAACTAGCGCATACTAAACCACGACTAACTGTAGGGTACCTACAGTGGGAGTCCTTTGCCCATGGTTGCCCTAAAACCCTTGGTCAGCACATTCCTGTGTTCGACGACAGTCGGATGACCATGTATTATATATTCTACACAATTATAAAATAATATTCAGGGGTTCTTAACACCCTCCAACCTAAATGAGCAATGGGGGTCTAATGATTCCCATTGACTCAAGGGAAATCAGATAAATAAAGTTATACAATTGCAAAGGGATTTAGAATGTTTTTCATATTGGCGAATTATATAATTTAAAATAGAGAGATTCAGAGTTGTGTATTCTTAATTTCAGTGGTATATACTTGAACTACTTTTTTCTTACACTTAAAGAATACAGCGATAATTATAATTGATATGATACAAATTGACAAACAAGTATATATGATTACAATATGATAAGGACTTAGTAAAAATTTATTGCTATTTGGATTTGTATACCAATTTGTAGTATGTTTAAGTAATTTACAAAGATCGTTGAATAAATCGGTATTTGTTATTTGTTGCGAAGTTACCTTAATAATGGATTCTGTGTACGTGTTAATTAAGTTAATTAAGACTATATCATTAGAATGGTTGTAGAGTACAGTTGAAATGGGCGTTATAATTAATGAATTGGTATGAACAGTACAAGTGGGATATATTGTTAAACGACCAATATTTTTTATATAAACAGAAAAGGTGCGTTGAGGAGATTTACAATTCAGAGTCACTAGTTCGTCTCGCGTACAATAAATCCAGGAATTGGTATTCGATATACTGTTCGATATTCCATATACTGTTATTAAATGATACAATTGGACGCATACTGTAATGTGTCCAAGAATGTCACTATTGTCCAGTCACTGCTGTGTAGGNTGTCACTATTGTCCAGTCGCTGCTGTGTAGTTTGACATTAGATTTCTTTTCATAATACATTCCAATGTGAGGAGTTAGTATGTCTATTTGTGCTAGATTGTCCGGTGGGTGAATTAGAATTTCTGCATTGGTGTATGTACTATAAATACAAAAAAAAATTTTTTTTTTATATTATGGATTTAGGAGAAATGTTTTTTCAATATATTTTTATGAACTAGATGTCTTTTCCCCCTCCGCTTAATCGCTACATGGACCTGGTTAGGGTGGATTTCGAGAACCTCAAATGGACCTATCCAATTGGGTGTGAGTTTATTGTGAGCTGCTTTATTTTGTAAATAAACCATGTCACCTTCCTTAATTTCTAAAGAATGTGCGTTTTTGTCGTATTGACTTTTAGCTTTGTTTTTTATTAGCGATTAATCGATTGCGTGCGACTTCGTTGGTTTCTTGAAGTCTCCGTTTGAGTTCGAATTGATAATCAGAGAAATTGTACTGGGTNGAGTTCGAATTGATAATCAGAGAAATTGTACTGGGGTTCTGGAGGTTTCGACAACGAATTAGGAATGT